TTTTCACAAGGTGTCTAGCGGCATGGTAGTTATGGTAATATACAAACACCGCGACTCGGTATGGTACCGCACCCCCCCCCCCCCCTTCTACTCGAGTAACTATCCTAAACTACGGTATTAATCCTTACGCAATCGTTGTAGAATAACACGGTAGATAAAGATTCCTCCATCCCACTCCCACGCCTAACTTATTATTCTTTCTTCCAAGCCAAACTTGACTTAAGCTAGTCCTCTCACACAGCGACCACCTCTCCGATCCCCCCATCACGCCATCGGCTCCCCCCCGCTGCGACGCACACACGCACTAAGTGATCCACATGAAGTACTTTTTTATCAGTAGCGACAGACACAACTATATTGTATGCCGCTTAAATCCCGGGCCAAAAGCCCAAAATTTGTAGTCTTGTTCCGAAAATTTACCCCACCCTGAGAACCGGTACCCCGTCGACGTGACGGGGGAGGAACGAGGATTATTATACTATCACACCCCAGTAACAAAGATCAGATTAGGCGTGATTAATACTTGTAATCAAGTACCGTAAGATCTAGTCGTGGATCAGACCAGGGGTTTGAAGGAGTTCCTGCAGGGATTGATGGGTTTTGTTCTTAAACCCTAAGCCAACCTGCCGCCTTTCTTGATTGCAGGCACCCTACCGTACTGCAACCACCGGTCCACTAAAAGTTACCCGATCAATCAAAACCTTAACTAAATTAGATCGGTGGGTGTCTGGGTGGCGTCATTTGGAAATGAGATTTCAGGCACGCGCCACTCACGGTGAGGGTTTGACATGCGATGGGGAATCCCCAAACCGCAACTTCAAACCGGAGTCGCAGCGTGCCAACCACTCCTTTTGTTTCATGTTTGTCGATCGGTAGTGGTTTGCTGGGTTCAAGGCTGTTTGGATGCCGTGGTATCTGCTGGTTATTTGAACAAAGACAAGGTTTCGGATATGATTGCAAGAGTGGCTTTGGGCACTGGATTCAGTGGATTGTGATACCCCTGTACCCGGAGGATGAAGCGGGGTATTCGGGGACAAAGTCAAATTGCAAACATAACTCTACTAGTGACAGAGAAACCTATTAGCTTCAAACTTGTGGATTGAAAGTGTAAGCAGCCTTCGTTCTGGTCAAGTTATTCGAATAAAGGAAGGATCATATTGGGAGGGGAAATGGAAAATGTCCGGAGTTTCCCTAAAACAAAGTAAACAAGTTACAAGCAGATTCTGCGACTTCTTGCAGGAGTTAGTGAAGTTTGCCCCACAGGCAGTGCCCGAGTATGGGGGGGATACCGTTAAAGAGCGCAGTAAATTGGCTAGAGTCATCGTGCACGGCATGTTCCACACCAGTGGCAGGTTTTCTACACTTGCCGAAAGTTTGGCGAAAGACGAAAATAATACAGAAAGCGACCCCATTTTGCGGACGAAAGACGCACTTAAGGCATGCGAGGCTCTCTACCAAGGACTATGCTAGAGAGAGCCGCCGATGCTCCCTCGAAGGCCTTCGAGAGGCCTCCCCCTGTCATAGTCTTAATCCCTCTGGCCACTACCCTTGCCACCATCTTGCACAAACGCGCATGCCCGAGGCGTACAGGTGAAGTCCTGATCATGTCAGCGCGGACTTCCGCGATGGAGTTTACAAAGTCCCGGCTACCGTACCGAGGATAGAACCAAACCCAAGTGCACAAAATCCAGTTTAAGATGTCCAGCTTGCTCAACCATAATTTCCTAAATCTCCGCTGGCCTAGCCACAGATGTCCCTCGCCATAAGTTCGGGGGACATCTAATCAGTGCTTGCCCATCCGGAACCATCATAACCCAAGTGTGCCGAAAGCCCGGCCCTTGCCCACGGGTGGGCGCTATGTAAGCGAGACCCGCCGTCTGCGAGCGTAACATACCCGTACCACACCCACACAAACAAGTATTGTGTGTTACCAACCGGGACTGCATTTACCGTAGCGAGATGGCGATCATACCACTTGTAGTGATAGTTATGGTCATTAGGAGCCCTTCCTTCTTTTCATTCTTCGCCCCTTTCATTCCTCTCAACAATTCTCACCCGGGGTGTTCAGTTGCGGTGGCTAGTGATGCCAAGACATCACATGCCTAAACCTTAAGTTAACCCCCTGCACCGGAACCTGGAAGCGCTTGTGGGCAAGGGGGGGGCGCCGACCACGAGTACTTGTACCAACCGTTTCGTGGCTAATTCCCTTGAGACATGGGCCATGTAGAACTGCAAGTACCGTACCAGGTACAGTAGATAGGCAACGCTAAGCAAACAATCCTGCCGTAGGCACTGAGTACCGAGTGAACAGTTGCCGAGGGGGGTGGCCCACGAGAATGTACCACTTTCGGAGCCTGTTAGGATCACCCGAATGCTCGTTAGCCAATAAGCAAGAGAAAATCTGGCCTGATTTCACTTTGGCTCTGATGTTTTTCTCCTTTCTATCATAGCATAACCCAACACCAATTTTAGTCTGATTCCCCTTCGCAACGGTCTCTATCCGCTCACCGCCAACGGTCAGTACCATAATGCATGGTGCAGTAACCACAACCCACGAAAAGGGGGGAAATGATGGAAGAGTGGACAAAGGAGGGTTACGGTAACGCCCTTCAGTACATGCAGTCTTTCATACCCGCTTCCAATACAGTACTCGAGTACGAGAAAATTGCGCAACAGTTCCGACCATTGCGGGGTGTGGCGGATAACCCTGCATCGTCTATCGAGTTAAATTGCGTATTGTGCAGGGGAGAAGGGGAGAAAGCCACAGCGCTCTTACAAACCCCGTTTCTACTCTCTAACACCAAACAAAACGGTACGTTCCAGACATCCGTTCCTTTCCCCTCTCCTCCCACGACATCCTATTACCGGCATACGATACTCGATATTCGGCAACTACCGCACAACACTGTAGGAGTACTCATGGTGCAGTAGGGGAACCATCACCCAGCCCCATTCTGCCAGTAATCTCTCCCCCAATTCTTCCCCCCGTTCTCACTCCCGCCACAACACCTCCCGACACAACAGGACAGGGAAATAAGGTACCCAGCTGGTTCCAGAGAATTAAATTACCCCAGCTTTCGAGCACTGCGCATGAGCAATCCCGGTAGTCACGAGTCATTCCAGGCTTCGCAGCCCGTATAAACTTGAACAATTGGACAACGTGATATTATAACCCGGTCGTATTCCCTGCCCTTGAAGGAGAGGAAAATAAGACACGGCAAAGGCGAATTTCTGGGCGTTCTATTAAGCATCGGGAGACAGACGAGCACCGATCATTACCGGAGGAGGCAACTCTAACGGCACACCCCCTGATCCGGTTATTCGAGTTCCTGCGGTGCTAGTATATCCATTCCAACCACGATTGTGCTATAAATAATAAATAACGCTCTTGGCGCGGTGCATTTGGTATTACCTGAAAAACTAGGATAATTGAGGTCTCACTAGCGGGTCAGAATTCCCTCTCCTGGCATTGTCGGTCCGTTGTATCTTTTATTTTTATTTTCCAATCCCGACCAAGCCTTGAAAGGGAATCTTTTCGCTTTATTTTCTCCCCAGATATCCCGAGGGGGGAATCCCGGACCTTCTAGCGTCATTCTTAACTATCCCAATTATTATAGTATATCAACGCTCTTTTATGACGGGACAATGTGGGGGAGGTTGCCCCACTCGACGATGGACTATGGGGTGATGATTAATCCCGGGCGGCCCGAGCGGGCTGCAGTCGACCCCCGAATTTTTTTATAGAGTAGATTTAGATTGGATTGATCCTCGTATCTGTGTGCTGGCTGGTTGATAAAAAGGGGCATGTCATCCGCACCTAGACCGAACTGTTGAAAAATGATTGTTACAGAGGTAAGGATTGATGGTGAGGGTTTACGAATGGAGTGGAATGACTCGAGTGGAGACATGAGGTTCGACCCAGGCGAAGATGAAGACCATGATTGATTATCATAAGATGATAGAAAGGAAGAACTTGAAGAGAAAGGTGAAGCACAGGAAGTGGTTGTCTCGTGAGAGAGAACAGAAAGTGTACTGTTCAGTTGCTCAATATGGTCAAGGGCATCCTGGTATGGAATCAGGGTCTGAGGAGTGGGGATGACGTTGTGGACTGGATTGCGTAATTGGATATTGTGCATTGCGCAGTGTTGCCCAGGTCTGGTGGTTGTGTATTGAAAGAGGAGGTTCCTGTTCTCTTCTCGCTTGTCTCCTCTTCTTCTAACAATTCAACTCTCATCGTTCCCATGATCTGCCAAACTTGAATTGCACAAATCTCAACAGAAAGGAAGAAAAGATAGGGATCAGAAAAGTTTTCATATCTTAATCATCCTTCAGTAGCGCGTATGTATATCACTGCAGCCTTCATGTGCGGCCATCAACTGCTAGTTCTAACACGAACCAGTCCGGGAAATTCGAGTGATAACACATGAGAAAATTTTGTTGTTTGCAACAGGTCGGGCGTATTTTTTTTTCGGCATTATAACTGATCAAATTGCTATGAAACGGTGGTGGTACTCTGCAACAAGTAGGCCATGAGACCTACAGTACTCTGCTTTACGGCTATCATACCTGAACTTAAGCGCTTATCTGATTGAAAGATATCGGTACAGGGTAGAGAGGATAGGGGAGAATCAAGGTCGGAGTAGAAATCCTGCTGTTAACTAAGGGACATGATTGCCGGGACTGCAAAAAAGGCCAAAGGATGCCAAGCCTAGCCAAAGGGGGCGAGCGTGAAATACCCTTATACCCGAGTACAGTACATTATCAGTACTCGGTTTAGTAACGCGGATTGGAAGTATGTATAAAGATGCCAGACTCCGGCCCGGGTTTCACCACGATGGACATTCATATGGTGTTTCAAATACGGTGCATAATAGCAATCACGGGTTGGGCGCAATATTTGGTACGAGAATCCCCCCGCTTCACAAAAAAATCACTCAAAACCTGATCCTCTTCCAATTATTCGTGGGGAGAGGGGGGGAACACCACCCCTGAAGCCCCGACTAAATGATCCTCCTAATCGCTCCGGTCCTGACATCATATATCCATCCAGTGATATCTCCTGAAACCCCCGGGTGCCCCTTCAATAATTTCACATCCCGAAGCACCTCCTGCTCGATGTCCCAGCCTAGAGGATACATCCCGCAGTCGGTGTGCTTTATCAACAGCACCTCATCCGTTTGTAGTGCCTGCTGGGAAACTATGATAGAGCGGACCGCCTCTTCGGCTGAGCCGCCTGCGTTGCGCACGATGTGTGTTGACCCTAGGGCGAGGCCGAGGGCGGATGTGGGGTGGAAGCGGGCATCCATGCATGTTACTAGTTTTAGTAATCAGCTCTGGCTGAAAGCGGGCAGGAAGGGGAAGGGGAAGGGGAAGGGTATGATACTGTACCAATGAGGAGTCCGCGAGAGGGGGCCGCGGGAAGGTCTCGGTCGTGGGGTGGAAAGTTCCTGACGTATTCTTTGTTTGCGCGAATGATGTCCTGGATGTTTTGGCTCGGGTCCGGGATGTTGGCCATTGTGGGTAGTGGCTTTGCCTCCTTACTCTTCATCACTGTTTGGTTCGGTTTGGTTTGGAGGGGGTTCGTATTTATATAGCGTCTGGTGATATGGTAAGTTATGATGGATCCCGGTATGGGTATTGAGTGTGATAAAGGGAGGAATCCTGTTCCCTCTTTATAACCATCATGGCCCGCGTACTGCTACATGAACACCACAAAGTGTGTTACTGCAGATAAATAGTCTCCCATTCCGCTCCCACATGTGTCATACCTTATCCCCCATCATCAAACATTACTTAACTTACCCCTCCCACACAAAGGTCACCCCGCATCACCTCCCTGATGCATGCATCACGCCACCCGCCCCCGGTCCGGTCGGGAGCATCTGCTTGCCATGCGCAGCTCACGTGAGGTGCACCCACCCAGATGGCATTATCCGGGGGTTATCAATATTAACTTTGGAGGCGATTGGCACTCCAAGATTGTGATTTGAGATCGTGATTTGGGACCAAATCGCGTTTTGGCATGCCAACTTGGAATTGCGGTCGGAGATCCGGTGTGGTTTCAGTTTCCAATTTCTGACTTCGATATTTAGAGATTGAAAAGGTAAAACCTGATTAGAGTGTGGCTGGTAGTCAAGGAAGGTAGCATAATATGTAAGTGGTTGGAAAGGCGGGGGTAGGTTCTAGTAGGCCCCTGCACCGATCCGGGGGGTTGACCCCTAACCCCAATTCGACCTTACGTTTTAATTTACATCATAATCATCACAACCAAATCGGTGGGCGTTTGGTACAGCGTGCCTCCAAATGCGAAACGGCGAATGCGAGCGAAAATATTGACTCGCGATTTGAATTGGCCCAATCGCGATTTCAACCATAATCGCAGAGCGCTAAACTCTCTCATTGTTTCTTTTTTGTAGATCGGCGATGTTTCACCGGGCTAGGGCCTCTTAGGGTATCACAGTGTTTGTTGGCTATCTGACGAAAGCCGAGGTTTTGGATATTATGGCAAGTGCTAATATCGGTATTGGCACTATTTGTCCCCGCAGAACCATCGTAAAGCAGGTGGACAGATGAGTTCATGGCGATTGGGCGTATTTACACCGGAATTCGTCATTTCGAAGGGGTTTAACCAAACTCGGGCTCGCAGGATAGGCGTGCCGCATTTCCGGAACTACCGGTGCCCCGGCCGTTAGATAGTCTACAGATGTGGGCTGCTCGGGTAATACGGTAATAATCGAAAAGTGAGGCTTTTTCACACATCTGGTGCGGGACGGGAACAGTGTTGGGTTCAGCGTTTATCCGTCAAACAGACTAGTTTTCCTTTTAGTTGGCTTCTCCTAGTACTTTCCTCACCACTCTCCTCAACGTTAGGTACTGTTTGAGTTTTTCTTCGTCTCTTCTCTATTCGTTTCACAACCGCGCAGCCATGCCATATTCAACTATGGTATTCCGAGAAATCTGTTTTTCTTCCCCACCGAGGTTTCGTCAAATTCTTTCCTCCGAGGTCCTCATGTTACCGACCTCAAGTTTTTGTCATTTCTTTTCTTTCACTTGATAGTTCAGTTAGCATAAAAGCCCACTACTACGCAGGTGGTAAGAAAATCAAGCTTCTTTTCTCGTCCGCAGTCATATCAATTCACAAACAGCCCAATCACCGAGGCCTCCGTCCACCCGCTGCGGGTGGGCTAAACACCTGTCCTCCCGGCCGGGGATGCGAAGACCACAAACCTCAATTAGCTTCCAAGCGCCGCTCGCCGATCGCTGGATGGTTGGATTTAGCTGGTTCGGCGCACAGGTTTCTGGGCCAAGAAACACTCTGTAAAAGGTTAATAATGGAAGATATCCGAAGACTTTTCCTACTCTCCTAAGCGGTTGTATACCCGCTAAGGAGGTCCCCAAATGCTTCCCGTAAGACAGCAAATGGTACTGAAATGAACATTTGAAGTGGAGTATCAAGCCAAAACCAAAGTTATTTGCCGGTGTGGAATTGGGAAAAAAGTATATAATTTTCATCCCGTGGTGGGAAAAAAAGAAGGTCAAGGGATTTTTTGGGAGACCAATGTGGATTAGGGTGATTTAGCAATCTGCTTTACCGGTATCATACGAGCGAAGAAACAACCTATCGGGGGCGACCCAAATAGGCCGTGCTTACTAAATCCTCGTTTCACCGCCGGGCGTATGATGGGGAACTGTTCCACTTTCTCCACTCTAGTCACCTGTGGGCCGAACAAACTAAATCCACCTAATTGATACATCGTATGATAGTTCCAGAAGCCGTGGAGGCAAGTGTGTAACCCCCCCACTTCGATTGTTTTAATTGGCAGAGGGCCGCCAACCTTTCCCCTATCGCTTCTGGCACCGTAATCTTTCTCAACCCAACGGTTGTTATCCTCTGCTGTACTGTGCTGATTCACTGCTCCACGAGTACCGTGCTTCTGTCAGCCGCGGAATCTCATCCAGTATTCCGAGCGGTCCGGTTTGTCGGCCACGGAGGTAGGACGGACTGGGTCCGGGCACATTGTGCGGTGCGGTGAATTCTTACGGTTGGCCGCCGACCGATGTGGTCCCCGTCTCCCTTAGTACCCTGCGACTAGGATACACCTGAGGTCCTTCAAGTCTTTCCTTTCCTTTCCTTCCCTCCCAGGTTTCTCGCCTTCGGCTTTCCCTTTTCGATTTTCTTCTTTGTTTTCGACTCGAGGGTATAAAACCGGCAATAGAGAATATAGTAGAAAAATCAAGCTTCTCTTCGCTCAATCTCGGCCGTGAATATTCACAACTCAAATTCTCGATAGAGCGATTTCCTGTGAACCGCTTAAAGAGTGGAGGGCTGGAAGAACATGCAACCCTAACCCTTATGCGAGTATGTGGAAGGGGTTTAGCATTTCTTTTGATGATTCATGCGGGAGGAGAATATGGATTCGAACGGGAAGAGAGAACGAAGTGCAGACGGGGGGCGAGTAAGAGTGCATGCGACAAGTCCGCGCTTTTTGGGGCAGGTTGTGCGATGGAGTCCGAGGCTTATATAAGCAAGTATTACCTGGTCCGGTAGATATCATTGGTGTCTATTTGCTTTTCTCGGTTGGCTACTGGTATGATATTTCGATACAAATTGGGCGTGTCGATGCAAAAATCCTTTCCTTTCCCTGAGTTGGAACGACAACATTGACGGACCGGGGTACATACATGCCGTCCATCGATTGCTTGGTATGGCGAGATACCTGCATCTACGCTTCCGACGATCGTGATACAGTACTCGGAGGACTTTTGGTCGCGGGGGGTATTCCCAACCCAAACCTCTATGCCGTCGCGGAGAATCTCCGCGTATTTAGCGATACTTTCTGCCTGGGGCCGATGGTTGGGTAAGAGGGATGAGAAACCCCTTGGGCCAGGCCATCACTACCTTTGTCACTAATGGTAGAACCTCCTATACTTCGACAATGACTACCACTTACTTCATGTAGGTTCCATCACTATTACCGATAAAGTCCCTCTACTTCCAACCCCTTTATTGCAGTCCGAAGCCCACGTCGCATCGTTTCGTAACACTGTACATAAGGGAGATTGGCGATGCGTGATAACGGGTTGGCCGGCGGGAATAACAGGTGTTGGATACTGGACTATGTTCGAGGCCCCTCATATTTCTCCTTCGAGTTTAGTTCATGAAGGGCGCTGGGGCGGTTGTAAGTGTAGTCGTTATATCACCGTTCTACTGGCCATGGAGTCAGGTGGATCTATTAACTATGTACAGAGTGGGATATTTCTCACAGGATATTTGATTCCTATGTGGCGGCAGTCAATCTGGATGTACGTTTAGGTGGGGCTTGAGATGTTTGTAATACTCATAGCTAAAACCTCTTAGGATGGCTACAAGATCACGTGCTCCACACCTCTTGCTAGAAGCTACGGAATTCCCCGCCAACAACTCGATCAGTTGTCCTTTGATGATCCACTTTGGCCGGCAGATCAGCTTTTATATTGCCATTTTTGTCATTCAATGCTTGCCAACACGAGGGGGGCAGGAAAGCCTTGTTTTGGGAGGGATTTCCCACCTGGCTCAGACGTGGTGGCTGAGGTCATGGGTTCCACAAGAGCTGGAGAGAGAAAGGACTTTGAACCATTTAGTTGTTTCGATGAAATCGGAGGTCGCGCCTGAGGCAAAGGTGGGTTGCCAAGTGATGTGTGCCTGGAGAAACTGCGGCATCTTGTGTAACGAGGCTTACCACCAATGTTTGATCCATAAATTCCCTTAGAAACTGGGCGAGCTCTGAGTTTTGGTGTTAAAAATATGAGGAACCGAAACTCTTCGGGGGGACCAATAACTATTGCCTCATTTGAAGGAGATGTATCGCAGGATGTGTTGTGCCAGGCTTCCTAAATTGGACTGTATCCTCAACAAATAGGTGACAAATAGGACAAGGTCTTGTACTGCCAATCGCAAACGTGTCCCTAGCCCAATACTACACCGCAGCTTTCAATGCGGACCTCCTTTTGGTGCCAGAGCGCTTTGTCGCGCTCCACCGGACGACACTCTCGCAATTACCGGTATATCCCCCACCGCTTCTCCCATGAAGCCTAACTAGATATCACCCATACAATACAGAGATTATTTCGAGTGAATCCTGAGCACAGCCTGCGTGTGCACTACCAGTCTGCCTCCTGCCGTCATATGAGATCACTCGCTCTGTTTCGCCTGTTCCTGTTCTCCAGGTGGAATGATCTAGTAAAAACTACTCGCGCGTCCTGGTGAAGGCGGCATGTGTTCACTAGATGCCCGGTGTGGACCCTAATAGAATATTGCCTGGCGGGATGGATAGAAGATGGAGCGCGTAGTTGGCTAAGCAGTGGACACACAGGGCTTTAAAATATTCGTCTCAGGGGGGGTTGGTCAATGTATTTCTCTATGATACTCTCGCTGAAGGGCTTCACCCATTTGGGAAACTGCATAATTAGGGTTGGGATTGTGGTGGCCCGAACTAACGTGCAGGTTGGGGACTAGGGGGGGGGAGACACCTTTGGAGCCGACCATTCCCGTTTGCCCTCTTCTCGGTAACACCAAGCCATCTCTTCGCGGTTTAGCGTAGCCCTTAGTTCGCACTATAATTATTTTTTCCGTAATTTATCCTAGTACCCCGCCTAATCCTTGCCGTTTCCCCGGCAACATGGTGCGCACGATAATCGCCTTTGTTTACTTCCTTTTGACACATGAGGGGCGCAGTGGATCTACAGTACCCACTGTCTCAGGATCAATATTCCGCCCGATCCCTAAACCGTGCACTGTGGGAATGGGGTACGGTATTTCCTGAGGCAGATCGGATGGGAGGATTTACAATAGCTTACTCTTTTTATGGAACTGGATACCAGGTAGTTGGGTGTCTGGATTGCTGAAGCCGGGAACACAGACTATTGCCGTGTAATTGTCTGCGCATGCATAATTATTCGGTGGGTTGTTTTGTTGAATGAGTTCATCATCATGTCTCGGAGTCCGGGGGAGATGTATCATAATCTATTGACAGCATATTTGACTTAATATTAATTTGGAATTATGGCATGTACTCTACAGTAATAGAGTGAATCGCGTGGGTTCGCTTAGACCTGGCCCCCACGAGCATTCGCTCAGATGGGTTTAGTGAGAGGGGGGTGGGTTTTATTTGGTGTTTGGGCTGATGGGTTGCGTTGTGCAAGTCACTGCTATGATGGGTTACGTGCAAGCCTCAATGGCCGACCAAACCGTGAAACTCCACTGCCCATTCTGTGAAATTTTTTTGACCGGAGCCGCGGGCTCACAGAAATCTTCTTTTGATTCCAAACTTGTGGGAGCGGTGCTGGCTGGTGGGTTTGGTCTCCGTTTTTCTGTTTGGGGGCACGGCTAATCATGGCAACCCATAATACTGTTCTCAGGTACCGTATGATACCCCGCACTACGATAAATGTGGCCTCGCCTCCGTTCGCTCACTTCCTATTCCTACAGTTGCTACACTACTCCTGGCGGTTCCCTCCAATTCATTCGAGAATCCAAACAAATACCCTATCAAACATGGCCTCCGACCTAATAGCCCACCACTACCTCCACACGGCCCCCTCACACGTCTCCCACCTGACGCCGAAGCCCTTCTCGACAGCCCCGACCCCTCCATCGCACTTCACCCTGTACACCACCACGAGTAACGAATCCGTGGAGCGCGTATGGCTAATCCTGCACGGAGACGCCGATGTCCCGAACCCGTCCGAGCAGATGTACGCTCTCCTCTCCACCCCGCCGCTCGCCGGAAATCATCGAAAGCTCACGGTCAACACGTACGACAAGCGTATCGTTCAGTGGGCCATCGGGATTGGGAACCGTGCCATGCGTGTGGACTTGCTCTACGAGATGGTGCTGAAGCCTGAGGGAATAAGAGAAGAGAGGGCTGTGAAAGGGTACAAGGTGGGCAGGGGGGAGGGCTGGTTCGTTGGGGAGTTTCCATCCATGGCTGGAATTGTGGGTGTTGGCGGGGAGGAGGTTTGGGTTGTGATGACGGATGGGCGGGAAAGCGGGGAGGAGGTGGTTAGTTGGATGACGGTTGTTAGGACTCAGGATGGGGCGAGGTGTTATATTAGTACCCTCGAGACCAAGGAGAGCTATAGAGGGTTAGGGTTGGCGGGTATGCTTTTGACTGGGTTTCTGAAGGGGGAGAAGGGGGAGGTTTGGATTACTGTATTTTGTGTCAATTGGGTAGCGGTGGAGATGTATGTGAAACTGGGATGGAGGACGAAGAGGTGTTTGTGGGTGGTTGGGCATGGGGGGGATGAGGTTTAGTTTATATGGTGATTGGGGGGGGGGGTTGGGTGGTGCCCTGGGAGATCCCTTGGAGGTGATAAGGGGATTGAATAATCTGGTTTGCGGTTTCGCGTTAGTGAGTATTTGTTATTTTGTTATTTGTGGAGTAGTGCCGAGGTGGAGCTTGATGTATAAGTTATTGTGCTGTGCTGTACTGTACTGCCGGGAGGATGCGACGGGAGTAGCGACTTTCTGTGACAACACCGCCTTTGCAAGTTGTGCACGAGGCGACGGCTCCTAAGGCCTACTTCTGATGACGAGCTGTTTTTCCCCGGTTTTGATAACTTCTCACTTCAGGAGTGGCTAACTTAGTTGGGTTCCTCTGCTTGAATTTGGTTTTGTAAAAATTCTCTCCCCTCCCAAGAGAAATATCGGGTAGGTAACGGTAAAGAAGACCACGTTGTGAAACTGTACTCGAGTAATATGGTGAGTTACGGCACCTGGTGCAATGCAACCTAGCACTGTGCAACCCTGTCTTTCCGCAATGTCAGCTAATTCGGGCAATCAGTGTGCGGCTTAAAAGGGTGGAGGGAACGAGGCTGGGTTGCCTCATAATCTACGTGGATGGTTGTGCAGTATGTACGAGTAAGGCGCTTGTGCTGGTTGGCCACAGGCCCCAAGCGATGTGTCCCGGGTACCAAGGCTAGGTCTGTCGGGCTCCCTCTGCTCGAGTAGTTGGCCCAGTGGCCCACAAGAGCTCGACAGACTATTTTCCTTCACCACAAAGGAGTCTGGATTGACGGCATAGCTGCAGAAAAAAAAACAAAAAACCGGTTAGACTCATAGTAATTCCGGCGAATCAGCCCAAGTTCGACAGATATGCTCACACCTTGGTGGGTTTAGTGTTTTTCTGTTTTGGGACAGGCGTCAGTTGCGCAGTGTTTGGGTAGGTTGTTGGCTGGGCTATCGCAAACTGGGTATAAGGCTCTGGGTTGTGGAATGAGCCCCGCTTTTCTTCAACTCCCAGCACCTTCGTCGATCGACCGCAGTTTAACCGGCACATCGCATTGCGCAGTACAGCACTCAACGGGGAGAACAGAGAAATGGCTCATGTTTATAGCAACAACGTCAACTCTTTCAATGTGTTGAATAAATTCAATCTAGGTGTTACGGATGAAGAGTCAAAAATCCTAGCCTTGCTATCACCCTTGGAGCCACGCGTACGGCATCACGATATCCGAACTCGGCGGGTGGAGGGCGTGGGAGACTGGCTGCTTCAAACCAGGGAGTATAGGAACTGGTGCGGCGGTAGTGAGCAGGAAGACTCCTACCGTGCAGGCTTGTTCTGTTACGGTCATCCTGGGGTTGGCAAGAGCTTCATCACGTAAGGAAAACAATCCCCGAGGCGCGACGGGGGAGTAGTCTCGCTGACAAGTCAGGATGCTAGTTCACTAGTGATAGACTCTTTATGCGACCGAGCCAGAGGACAAAACATCGCCGTCAGCTGCTTCTACTTTGACTTCGCTTCGCGGAAGGAGCAGACTCCGATAAATATGCTAGGTTCTTTGCTCAAACAGCTCGTCAGTGGATTGGAGACAATTCCGAATGAGGTAGTGGAAGAGTACCGAGAGCAGAAAAAGGTCATTGGTGGCCGAGGGCTGCAGGTTTCGGGAATGGCGGGTCTGTTCCAGACGGTCTCATCTACGCAGCCCACGTTCATATGCATTGACGGTCTTGATGAGTGCGTACCGGCTCACCGGGTCGAGGTTCTTGATATCCTAAACCGGGTTCTGCAGAAGTCGCCAAACACCCGGATATTCATGACCGGAAGATCTTATATCAGGGATGAAGTTGAGAGGCACCTTGGCGGAAGAGTTACGAGCCTACTGATAAAGCCTACGGAACACGATATCGCTCTATATTTGGAGGCGAGGTTGAAGCAGGATACAACACCGGAGGTGATGGACTCTCGGCTGAAGAAAGATATTATGAGGAGCATCCCTCAAGCGATATCAGAAACGTATGTAGGAGTGAACAGTGCTGGAAATCCGCCTCAAGTTGTTTACTGACCGATGTGAATCTAGATTTCTTCTAGTTTCCCTCAATATCGAGGCGATCCTGCAGGAGACGACAATCGGTCACAGGCGAAGAAGGCTCAATGCTGTGAGGGATGGGTTAGGGTTAGAATTTGGTCTGGTGGGTGCATATGGTGTCACTTTGGAACGGATAGAAGCACAAGATAAAGTAAAATCGAAGCTCGCGATGGCGACTCTAATGTGGATATGCTATTCAGAACGCCCGCTGAAGGTAGATGAGCTCTGCCATGCCCTAGCGGTGGAGATAGGATCCACAGATTTCGATCTCGATGATGTTCCCTTGATTGGCACGTTGGTAGGGTTCTGTCAGGGACTTATCACAGTGGACCAGGAAGCTTCGACTGTGCGATTGATTCACCATACTCTCCAAGAGTACCTTTCCATTCTAAACCTTTTCCCGAGAGCTCACTCGGAAATTGCGGAAACGTGCTTGACATATCTGAATTCGCGGCGCATCAGGGGCCTCTCTCGCCACCGCCTCACTGATCTGGGGGATGCACCATTCCTCAAATATGCTTCTCTTCATTGGGGAGCCCACGCGAAAAGGGAACTTACGGGACACGTGAAATTGCTTGCCATGGAGGTCTTGGGCCAGTACGAGAATCACGTATCCGGAAGACTACTTTTAGAAGTTTTCGTGGGGCCAGGGCATAGCGGTCATATCAACCGCCCTTCGCGGTTCACTGGGCTCCACTGTGCGTCCTATTTCGGAATTGCCGAGTTGGTAACGACTTTGATGGAAAGGAACGGTTCAGGTATCAACAAACAAGATTGCCTGGGTGCGACACCACTGGAATGGGCCGCCACGCAGGGGCATATGGCAGTGGTCAAGCTGCTGCTCGGACATCGAGATGTTGACCCCTGCATGAAAAATAGCCTGGGCCAAACCGCGCTCTTGCGTGCCGCTGGAAGCGGGCATGAGGGAGTGGTGAGGCTATTACTCCAGCGAGAAGAAGTCAATCCCGATATGAAAGACCAAGGGGGACGAACGCCACTCTCGTTCGCTGCTGCAAGTGGGTATGAGGGAGTGGTGAAACTATTACTCGGGCGGAAGGAAGTCATCCCTGACATTCCTGACCAAGAGGGTGCAACACCGCTATCATGGGCTGCCTCAAAAGGGCATGAGGGAGTGGTGAAGCTGCTACTCGAGCGGGAAGAAGTCAGCCCTGATATGCCGGACAAAGAGGGCCGGACACCGCTCTCGCTGGCCGCCTCAAGGGGGCATCAGGGGGTGGTGAAGCTACTACTAGAGCGACGGGTCAATCCAAATATACGAGACGACCATGGCCGAACGCCACTCTATTGGGCTTCCTCGAGAGGGCATCAGGGAGTGGTGAAGCTGCTACTCGATCGGAAAGAAGTTAACCCCAGCATGCCGGACCAAGAGGGAAGAACGCCACTCTTAATTGCTGCACGGAGAGGGCATGAGAGAATGGTGAAGCTACTGCTCGAGCGGGGAGAAGTCAACCCCGATACCCCAGACAAAGAAGGCGGAACGCCGCTCTCTTGGGCTGCTTCAATGGGCCATGCGGCAGTGGTGGAACTACTACTCGAGCGAGAAGAAGTCAATCCCGATATGCCGGACCAAGAGGGAAGAACGCCACTCTTGATTGCATCATGGAAAGGGCATGAGAGAGTGGTGAAGCTACTGCTCGAACGAGAGGAAGTCAGTCCCTGTAGGCCGGACCATCAGGGCAGAACGCCACTGTTGATTGCTGCATGGGGAGGACATGAGGTAGTGGTGAAGCTACTGCTCGAGGGTTATAAGTCAACCCTGGCATGCCGGACCGGTAGGGAGGAACGCCACTGTCGTGGGATGCGCAGGGACAACACGAAGGAGGAGCGAAACCGTCACAACCTATAAACCTGCACCCACCGGCACGGTCCGGTACCGAGGAGTTATCGCTTCCCTCTCCTTCCCATATTCCACCTTGATCATCTACCGTTCCGTGCTCGTTTCTTCACCCCCCCCTCCTGCTCAAGACTTAGTTTCTCATCCAAGGCGTGCCATGACTTCCCGCCGCCGCCCCTGGCTCCTTCTTTGCTTCATTTTCCTTTCCTTCCGTTATGATCGGGAGTGGTAAACCTCGGCGGATGCGCAAACACCCTCAAAAACTCAAATATATTTTCTTGTGTGTTCTAGTGAATACTTACGAAATGCTGTTCACTCGGCTTAACACGGATAAGAGAGAAGGGGATGTAGACCTATTTTGTTTTTTCTATCTTGCACAGATTACCCTATTTAGCTGTTTTGTTATTATTATTCATCGCTGGCCGTATCTTGTCTCTTTCATACGAGTGCATTTATTTTCCTATTTTTCCTTTCGTTCGTGTTTCTCCCTCTTACCATTCCCTTTATGCCCGCGATTAATAGATCCGTTGATAGATAGATGAATAAACATATAGTGCTTGGGGTACCCTTTCGGGACAAAAAATGACATTAGTGCACATGTTCCCGAAGCCGCCGTTTGCACCTGAGAAAATTGAGAACAATCCCGGGAATTGCATTTTGCAAACCGGATCGCTAGAAGTTCGAGCCCAGGTCACTTCCGCCGATTCATTTTCTCACTCGCGTGCCATCCGCCCGCGTGCGGTTCTAGATTGATTGGCGATTGAAAATACGGGTAGCAAATTACCTGTCCTAGCGACAACGGGTAGATAGGCAGCGACGATGGCTAGTCTGCCGGACTTCCGCCCCCTGCTCAGACCCAATTACGGCGTTGTACGGTACATTAATCCTCCCCCGGATCCGTCCTTGGTGAAGCAGAGCGGGTGAATAGCAGGGTATGCACCCGAAATGATAGAATGCCTGAGGAAGTTAAAACAGGGTGCTTTGCGACATAGTCGGGTGAGAAGAAGTGCTCATGGTACTATGCACGAAAGGCGCGTTCATTATAGGGCCCTGAGAAGTGACTGCGTTGGGTTATGAAGTTGTTGGGAGAA